AAAAAAAAAAAAAATACAGTAAACAAGGGGAATATTTGAACTTTCCAGCAGCCATGGGGGTGGGTAATAACCCCAAGAAAAATGAGGTCCTCTCCTCTTCCCCCAACTTAGGGGATGGGTTGGGAGCTGCAAAGCTAGTGTTGGCCTGCATACTCTAAGCCTGATTCTCCCCCTCCTCAGCGGGTGCTGGCTGCATTGATCGTCGCCTCAGTGGTGGGTCTGGCTGAGCTATACGTCATGGTGCGGGCAATGGAGGGCGAACTGGGAGAGCTGTAACTGATGCTTCATCATCAGAGTCTAGAGGAGGTTTTGGAGGCTCCGGGCTCCTGACTGCCAGTCACTGACTGTTAGTCCATCAGGCTGTTCATGTTCAGCTATAGTTAGAGGACCAGGCCAGGCCACCTGCTGTTCCTGTGGTGGAGACTCCTCCCTGGTGAATTTCCAAAAGGAGATCCAGACAACATATGTTTAAAACTGGAAGCACTGATTTGTCAGTACTTTCTCCTGAACCCTGTGTCCGGCTGCCTTCTCCAGTCCCTTCTGGGCACGGCTTAGACTGGAGTTTTTCCAACAGGAATAAATGGAATCCAGGCCTTCTCAGAAGTAGACTACACTGCCTTGAACTTGTCTAAGTGCACAAATCAGTCACCATCCTTTTTCATACGTTTTTGGTACAGACCTGTAGTTGAGATGGGAAGCCTTCAAGAAAAGTAGAAAGGATCTCCTTTCTCCAGTTTATGTGGGAAAAGGAAATGATGAGAGGACAGAAATCAAGTGAAGGAAAGATGGGTTTACTGGATAGCAGAAATGGAAACAAGGCAGCTAACTTTTTGGAAAAGGAAGGAAGATAAAACCTTAGACTGAGCAAGATCAGATGGCCAGCTGTGGTCCTTCCTCTGTGAAATGGAGCCAAAGACTCTTGTGTTCTCCTGAAGTCTTTGTAATGTTTAACTTACGAGAACTTAGATTAATGGTGTGATGATGGAATTTCTATGATGCACTTAAAAAGGTATCAGCCTTAGTTATTCAGTAGATATAGATAGTGTTCAGTGTATTTTTACTTCAAATCCTGTGACAAGTAACACAAAAGTTTCCATACTTCTTGATAACTATTCAGGGTCTGCTCCTAATGGTAGACTGTTCACTGTATGTGTTCCTGTAGTTTTTTGTGTTTTCTTTTCAAAGCGATTTTCTGTCCTTTTAACTTTTATACTAATTAGCTCAGTGGACATTTCCTCTGCATTGTTTACCTGTTTCTGTTAGTTGGAGAAAAGTGTCAGCTATGAAAAGAAAAAGGATGTGGTGTTTTACTGTGTTCCTCGTAACCTGAACTATTTAAAATCAGAATAAAAAGCTGCATTGAATAAAGCTTTGTTGAAATTCATGGCTGTACTTAACCTATGTCCACCTGGATGCTACATATCTTTAAGCTTCTACATCCCTCAGGTACCTGGATTTAGGTTGAAAAACTTCTGAATGTTGGCTCGGCACCTGTGGCTCAAGTGGCTGGGGCGCCAGCCACATGCAGCTAAGGTGGTGGGTTCGGATCCAGCCTGGGCCCGCCAAACAACGATGGCTGCAGCCAAAAAATAGCCAGGCGTTGTGGCAGGCACCTGTGGTCCCAGCTGCTTGGGAGGCTGAGGCAGGAGACT